TTTTTTTGTGGCTTCGGTAGTTTTTTCATATTCTGAAGCAGCCCCGGACCTCGGGACGAGAATGTTTACCTGCGTGAGACGGAAAACGTGTCCAGACTAGCACCTTCTTGGATGCATCTGACCGTAATTACGATCCCCTAAGGATGTATCGGCACGCAATGGTGGCCCGAAAGAGAGAAAGTGGAAAAAAAAGTCCTTGTGTGAGTGTCCCGCGAAAGCGGCGGACAGAGGGTTCAGCCTCCTGATGAGTAGGTGCAGCTCCGACGACACGATCTATCATCATCAGCTTTTATTTATTTATAAAAATAAAAAAAAAGGCGGCGCGGACGTAAAGAACGCGGTAAAGGGAGGTGACGAGGACGGAAATGATGGTCTTTTTTTTTATAGTGAAAACTGATGTGAGAATTGATGTGAACCTTTGTTTTGAGCAATAAAGTTTTCTCTCCTGTGAGAACTGAAGTGATGAAAAAAGATTCACTTCAATTCTCACAGGAGAGAAAACTTTATTGCTCAAATCAAAGGTTCACATCAATTCTCACTTCAGCGGCCTAACTCAGTTGGTAAGGCACGCGGGTGGTATTCAGGAGGTCCTGGGTTCAATCCCCATTGGCCTCATGTACATTCCTGGGCATGCTTGGCGCCCGCCACCTGATCCCCTGGTCGGCATTGAGCAGAGTCTGCTGATGTTCGTAGAGGGGGGGGGGGACCACCACCTGAGGGGAGGCACAGGGATTGGTCCTGTTGGCATGGTCCCTGATGCTACCGGCTGTCCCTTAGCCGGTATGGCCCACCTGCAGGTCGGGAGCAGCCCCCGCATGCATGTTCTCTCGTGAACAGGGTTCTGGATGCTAAGGGGTTCCCCATATGCCTACAATTAGGAGTAGGGGTAGGTAGGTTAAAAAAGAAAAAGTAGTTGTGGTAGGTAGGTAGTGTGAGGTGAAATTGAGAGAAGAACATCCTACCCCTTAAGCAGCATTGGCCGCGGGGGGAGGTCTATGGTCCGCTGCGCGCCGGACTTGGGGTCGAAGTTTTGAGGAGGGCCGGCGGATAAAGGCGATCGAAGGCGGGGGAGTGTGCAGAGGGGCGTGCGTACCGAAATGTTCACAGCGCGCCATTAAATGAGTGAGCACGCGCACGGGGCCGGGCAGCGGCGGACGTAGATGTGAGGGAATATCTTGAAGCCGCTGCCGTCGATAAGCGGCCGGCCTTTTTTTCTTTTAGCATTTGCGTTTTCGGCCTGTCGTTTCCTACTTTTTGCTTTTCTTTTTGTTTTGTGGTCGGCGTCCACTTTTTTTTTTTCTGCTTTTTGTTTTTTCTTTGGAGGGCCGTTTGTCTTTTCTCGGCCGCGGAGGCAGCCGGGCGGGAAAAGGACAGCAAGAAACTGTTGTTTTGTTTCTCTCTTTTTTCTGGTGTCATTTCACCTTTTCTCATTTCGTTTTCCTGTGTCTGGTGGGGTCGGGAAAAGGACGGAGTACCCCCAGCCCCACCCAGTTCCACTGCCACCCCACCCCCCCCACACACACACGCACGCACCCCAGCCCACCCCACCCATGCATGTGCATCCCACCCACACACACACACTCACTAATATATATAGATATATGTTAGTTTTGAAGCTTGCTTGGAGCGGTTGTGGTCGGGTTGGGGTTTGAACTCACACACTGATTTTAAAATACCCAACTGCCCATTGAGATAACCGCTCAGGTAGATTGGGTCCCTGTTTGCTTTTGGGGACTGTTTTATTTTGACGTGTATCCGATGTCAGGCAGCTGGCACGTCAGGATGTGCCTGTGTGTGTGAACCGGGGTTGCA